AAGAGCGTCGGGTTCATGATGAAGTAGTCCTGGTCCAACACACTGTAGAGCCTTCCAGCCCCATGCAACTCCGTCTCTAATCGGGACTCCCACCGCTTCGTGTTGGTGCTGTGACAAACCTTCTTTTCATGCCTATTGTTTTCAGTCGTGGCGGGTGCGCGCGGAGAAAAGGGCAGGTGTGCCGTTGTTTTGGTGATGCTCACCCCCAAGAAGCTTGTCTTTTTTTATATATCTGTGCCTGGTGACACTCAAGTCACATGCACCACCACATATTCCTTTTCTCCAGCATTAGTGAGGTCTTGTGTCACCCTATGGGTCTTCATGAAACGACATCGGAGGGCACCACAGAATGAAGAAACAATGGAAAAGAGCGAATACATCAATGCGTTGGGTGGAAGAGCCATTCCCACTATCACACCACAACAAACAAATCGTGAATAATAAAGAAGTTTATCCCTTTCGCGTGTGAAACAAGTACCTTTCCTCATATTGTATGTGCACCCCCAAAGAAAAAAAAAAAACAGCCCGGGGATCGCAGAGTCACAGTTGCTGAGAGTAGCTTGATGCCGTGATGTCTGTATTGCAACTCATCACGTATCTACATGCTCTTCCTTTGAACTTACGATCATGGATTGGTTGCCGTTTTCTGCCTTTTTTGGCTTTGGCTATCGGCGCATCATACATACAAAATAAATATATATAAATATATATATTATTTAATACATTGCTGCGTCTTCTCATCGTTTTCAGCCTCCCTACACATAAGCTAGTTTAATATAAGTTAGTCTACCAAAACTTGGGCAGCCCTATTCCTTGAGCGTCGCGAGGTACGCAATGAGGTCCGCGCGCTCCTGCGGTTTCTTCAGACCCGCGAAAGACATCTTTGTGCCAGGCATAAACTTCTTTGGATTCTCGAGGTACACGTCAAGCACCTCTGGTGTCCATACAACACCAGAGCTCTCGTTTGCCTTGCTGTATGAGAAGCCCTCAATCGTGCCGGAGCGACGACCGACGATGCCAAAGAGGTTAGGACCAACTCCATTTGCTCCACCCTTCGACCCAGTATGGCACTGCGCAGCACGACCCTTGAATATCTTCTCGCCCTTCACGGCATCGCCTGGGGGAAGCGGCTCTCTCGCTTTTGGTGGCATGGCTCAATACAAAGTGAGTTTTATGTTATTCTTGTTGTTGACCCTATGCGTCCTAGCCGTTCAGGTGCGAAAACAAAAAAAGAAAAAAAAAATAATCCACCAAAAAAGAGAGTAAAACAAATGAAAGGCAGTGAATAGAATTCTGCTGGTGCGTGACATATCAACAGCACGTGCATATGACCCTTAACTGTAGTGCACCGAGTGGAAGTAGCGAAGGTATGTATTAGAGAAACAAGAAGCGAATTGACCGGCAAGGCTTATTTGTTTGCTTTCTTCCCCCATTTTTGCCTTGCAGTTGTTGGGATGAGGTGGGGGCCATTGCACCACCATGCGGCAGGTGCGAACATTCCCCCAGGTGCAGGCACACCCACAGCCACACAGATATCTATCCGTATATATATATATATATATATGGGTATAGGTGTCTCTTTGTTGAGCCCTCTCCTTCTGCCTCTGGCTCTCTATCTCATGTGCGGGAGTGTGGAGAAACAGTGAATGACACACCACGGCGTGGCTAGAACCAAATGTGTTTGGTACGGGGAGGCCGGGTATAAAAGTCACGCACACGCAAAACACAACAGAGCGAAGAAGGCGAAACACCCACACCCACACGTCCATATGCACATAAGGGGGAACGGAATGTTGGATGAAGGGAGTGGGGGGGG